AATGGCCTTACACTTAACCTCTCAGCCCATAATGATCAAACACTGCCCGATAAGAGAGGACCTCTCCCTCAGCTACAAGGTATAGTGTTGCACTCTCTGCTCACATGGATCCCGAGAATTAAAACCTTTTTGCAAACATTTTGTGAAACCATAATATATATGTATATCTCTATATATCTCTATATAAATATATTTTGCAAAACATATCTCAACAAGTTTGAAATCTCATTGTCCCCGAAAGGATATAGGTAGTTATGAATAGAGGAGGAGTGATCAGACCATATCTAATAGAGTATGGTTTCTTCTCTCTAACACACCGTTTAACTGTGGTGTAGCAGGAGGAGACAATTGTGATATAATTTCATTGTCCTTTAAGTAGTCCTTGAATTCGTCGGAGAGATATTCACCTCATCGATCTAATCGAAGGGTTTTGAAGTGTCTCCCCAACTGTTTCTCAACTTCTAATCTAAACTCCTTGAACTTTTTAAAGGATTCAGACTTATGTCTCATTAGGTACACATAACCATACCAAGAATAATCATCGGTGAAAGTTTTGAAATAACAGTGTTGGTTCCGTGTTCATGGGACCACATACATCAGTATGTATCAGGTCAAGTGTGCCTGTTGACCTTTTAGGCTTACCCGTAAATGGTCGTTTTGTCATCTTACCTTAAAGGCAAGGCTCACAAGTTGGTAGATCTTCTACAATTAGAAAATCTAGAAGACTAACCTTCACTAATTTTGTGATACGTTCTATATTGATATGGCTAAGTCGGTAATGCCATAGGTATGTGGGATTAATTGTATCACATGTTCTTTTCTTAGGGATACATTCTGACGTAGTTTTGGTTATATTTGTTTTCCAAAGAAGGACAGAGGACACAGAGACCATTCTCAAGTTCTCCATAAGTAAGGAATTTGTTATTCAATTTAATTATAATCTTATCATTGAATAAAATAGAATAATCATCCTTACACAACTTAGAAACTGAAATCAAACTTCTTCTAAGTAAGGGTACATAAAGACAATCTTTTAATGTTACAATTCCTTCTTTGAAAATTAAATCAACTATTTCTATAACAGTGGTTGCAACTATTGCAAAAGTCCCCAAGTAGAGCACCACCTCGTCATCATTTAGCCTTCTGCTTTCCTTGAACCTCTACAATGTGTTACATGCATGAGTGGAAGCCCCAAAGTCAATACACTAGGATGTAGAAGTGACCAACATATTGGTCTCTATAACAAGAGATTTGAAATTACCTTCTTTGTTTTTGTAGGATTGTAGATATTGAGGAAAATTCCTCTTCCAGTGTCCAGTTTGCTTGTAGAAGTGACATTCATCTAATGATTTGTCTCTCTACTACTTCTTCAAGTTGCCTGCCTTCTGTTGAGGCTTCTTCTTACCCTTTCTCTTTCTCTTTCTCTTTCTCTTGTCAGATTTGCCACTTTCAACAAGCATGGCAACCAGCTTGTCTTTCTTTATCAGTTCCTCAACCCTCTACAACATATTGTTGAGTTCATGCAAGCTAACTTTTAGCTTGTTCGTGTTATAGTTCATGAAAAACTGATTGAAAGACAAGGGCAAAGAGTTTAGGACAACATCAGTCTTGGTGTCATCGTCAAGCTGGGATCCAAGAGCCTCCAGTTCATTTATGTAACCCATCATTCACATGACATGGTCATGAACCGGTTGGCTTTCGATCATCCTTGTGGTCATCAATAGTTTGAGGACCTTTTGTTTAGTAGAGCAATTCTCCTCTTTGTACATCATCATTAGACTGTCCAAAATATCTTTGTAGATTTTGATCTTATCAAACTGCCTCTGGACAGAGTTGTCTAAAGAGGCTACGACGTAGCACCGGGCAAGAGAGTTCTTCTCCTCTAATTCCAGATATTCCCTTCTACGTGCTTCAGAAGCCCTGTCACCCAGATGTTCCAGTGCTAGGTTCTTAGCAACCTTGTCCAATTTCTCGGATGTGAGAACCAGATTAAGGTTACGGTACCAGTCTGCATAATTAGGTCCTTTTAACTTGTTGTCGTCAAACAACTTAGCAAACTGTCCGTGTGCCATTTCTAATAAAAGGCAACAAAATTAGTCCACGACCTGAATATTGTTTCATGTTATCTCACATAGAACAGACTTTTATCTATGTTCCATCTCTAAGACTTCCCTCTTATCTAAGTGATGAGGACATGGTTCATATCCCTAGAAATGTGGGAAATCACATAAGTGCATGGGGCCAACTATTTCAGTTGAATAACTCCACCACTTTCTGTGAAGGATCAAGTATCCACCCATTCAATGAGCTTTCCCTTTGGCCTCCATCAAACAAGATTCATTACCATTTTAGGTTAAACCTTTCTGTCTGGTAAGTGTTGATCCATCATATTGTGGGCCCCAAGGTATTGTAAAAGTGTCTTCCATTTTAGGATAGGCTTCTCCCACCTTGGTTTATGACACTCCTATCATCTCATGAAGCAATCCCACCAACTGCATCAGCAAAATGGATAACCCAATTTTATGGTGCATCTCCACCCACCAATTCAGCCTGTTTTCATGCTAATAATGGAAGGCCTTTATAGAATTCATCCTATGATTTTCCCTATCTCATTGCACTTATATTAATCTAGAGGGAACGTGAAAAACAATCCTTAGGTTTAATTTAGGTCATACCATAGTGGCTTTCACTGACTTTCATAAAGTCAGATTCAAATGGGCCCATAATGGGCTAGGGTTCCACAAGGTTCCTCTTGGGGAGGAAGCTAATAAGGGGGCCATCAAAAAAGGGAGATCATGCAAAGGGAGATCATGCAATGATCTAAGGGCATCATGTCAATGATGTACATTCATCCATGATGTTCATAGAGGGCCACATAAGTCTAAACATGGGCCAAGCACTTATGGCCCATGAACGAATCACATTCATTCTGCACATCACAAGCACATACATAAATTGATCCAAATCAATTAAAGCTTGTAAAACCCTAATTTATTTAGCTTAGCACATAATCATCCCTTTGAAAGGGATGGTAGAATCCATCGTATGGATGCCAAAACAGATGCGGAATGGGAGGGCAAATTTCAAAAATTTTCTACCTACATTTCAACAGGGAATCACATTCCCTAATTTTAGAATAAAGATTCAAGGATCCTACTTGAACCAGAACCGAACCAGATCTAAACCAAAAAGAAAAGGGAGTAATTATACATGATCCAGAGAAATAATATCTCCCAAAGTTGGTGTTCACGCCCAAAGAAGGCACCAAGATCTGCTCCTGCTGAAGATGACACAGCAACAGTGGGACAGAACCAGTAGGGTGCGTCCTACACACTGAATCCTTCACAAGAATCCTTTGGATGACAATGAGCACCAAACCGAATCAGCCTTTCAACAAAGACTGATATCAAGAACTTTTCTTGATCTTTCTCTGACAGAGAAAAATGAACTGTGATAGATGGTGGCGGCTGCAACAGGAGGAAACTGAGAAGAAGGCGGCGAACTGCTTTTCTTCTCTAGGGTTTCAAAGATCCTATCTCACAAAACTGCAGGATGTGTTTTTTGTGTCCCTAGGGTTTGAATTCTTGTTATTCAAATTGGGTTTCTTCTAGTTGCTTAATGATTAAGAAAAAGATCTCCTGATCATATAAGGAGTTGCCCTTATCCAAATCTATATTTGGATTAGAACTCTTCTTAATCTTATCTACAGATTAGATAAGCTTTTTGGGCTGATCCTAATCTCAGATCCGCCCCTTAATAGTGACTGATCAAATCAGCCCAGTTCGAAATGGGCTTTAGGCCCAATAAGGTTATGTACTCAAATGTCCTCCAAACTACTGCCCAGTTGGGCTTCTTTGTATGGTGTAGGACCCAAGCATTGATCTACAGACCGGCCACATGGGTTCAGCCCAGCCTCTGTTACAAGGCCTGGCCGAATTCACTAGAGAGCCCAGTGAACCCCCTGAGCCCATCACATGGACCCTATGAGCCCAACACTTACACTAAGTGGTCTCTGGGCCAAGCCATCTTATAAAAACCCAGGGACTATGGGCAGGTGCAAGATTAGCCCATCAGGTATCATCCCAAATGGCCTTACACTTAACCTCTCAGCCCATAATGATCAAGCACTGCCCGACAAGAGAGGACCTCTCCCTCGGCTNAAGCACTGCCCGACAAGAGAGGACCTCTCCCTCGGCTACAAGGAACAGTGCTGCACTCTCTACTTACATGGATCCCGGGAATTAAAACCATTTGCAAACATTTTGAAACCATACTTAAATATATATCATATATATAAATTTTGCAAAACAAAATTCCAACGATTGAAATCAATTGCCGGTAGTTTGGTTTCCATCAGAAAGAGTGCATCCCCGATCATTACCTTTGTCCGACAAAGGGGTTGATCTCGTCACTATGATCACCCACTTAGATAAATTCTCAGACTGTCCCAACATACCTAGGTTTTGACCTCCGCTAAGGATCTCCCTGATTGGCATATCAAAGACAACCCAATCCGACACCTAGTGCAGTACCATAATCGGGTCTAGGGGTCAAGTGTAACTTTCTAGTTTTTGCCCATCAATCTCCAAGGTCCAAGGCAATACTGGAAATCTGATCCGATTCAAGGGTTCAAATAATCCTACACTGCATGTGCCTTGGGTCTCACCCTGGTGGCTGAGACAAGCCACCCCAACAGTTGGCAACACACCAGTGTCAACCTTGGTAGGATAAATCCCCCCAGACTTATCCAATGGCTGTGAACATTTAAAACCAACACAAGTCTCATTAAGTGTCCAGTTTTAGGGTCTTACACAGAAGTATACCACACAACATGAATCAAACATGTACTTCATTTATTTACATTAAATATCAAAAGTACATCAAACTGATTGAAGCTAAGGGCATACAAAAACTGTCCAACAGCTCCCACTTGCACTTAGGTCCAATCTGATACAAGCCAGAGTCCCATACTTTCCACGCGTTTCTCAAACACCTTCTGTGTGAGTGGCTTAGTTAATGGGTTTGCCACATTATCCGCTGATGCTATCTTCTGAATTAGGACGTCCCCTCTACCAACGATCTCCCGCAGTACATGGTACTTCCTCTCGATGTGCTTTGACTTTGAGTGGGCCCAAGGCTCCTTAGCCTGGGCGATTGCTCCATTATTGTCACACAACAACGGGATGTGTGATGTGCTAGACGGAACCACTCCTAATTCGTGAATGAACTTCTTCATCCACACAGCTTCCTTGGCAGCTTCACTTGCGGCAATGTACTCGGCTTCGGTTGTGGAGTCTGCCGTGGACCCCTATTTGCTGCTTTTGCAACACACAGCACACGATCCTATCGTGAAAACATACCTAGATGTAGACTTTCTATCATTTGGATCCGACTGGAAATCGACATCAGTATACCCCAGAATTTGCAGTGAACTACCATCGAATACCAGACAAAACTCTTTTTTCTTCGAAGGTATTTTAGTATGTTCTTCATAGCTGTCCAATTTTCCTGCCCTGGGTTGGCCTGGAACCTACTTACAACACTCACCGCCTGAGCAATGTTAGGGCGAGTGCACAGCATGGCATACATGATGCTCTCTACGGCTGAGGCATAGGGAACGTCTTTCATGCCCTCAATCTCCTCAGAAGTCTTGGGAGACATCTTCTTGGAGAGAGTGACTCTGTGCCTAAAAGGAACGCTTCCTTTCTTGGAGTTCTCCATGCTGTACCTTTTGACAATTTTGTCAATATAAGCAGCCTGGGATAATCCAATTATTCGCTTTGATGTATCTCTATAGAGTCGAAGACCCAGTATATAGGAAGCATCTCCAAGATCCTTCATGGAGAACGACTACGAAAGGCATACCTTGACTGAAGTCAACATTCCTACATCATTCCCAATGAGTAGGATATCATCCACATATAACACCAAAAAGGTGACCTTATCCCCACTAGACTTCCTGTAAACACAGGGCTCATCCGGATTCTGCTCAAAGTCAAACGTTTTGACAACAGAATCAAAACGGATGTTCCAATTCCTAGAAGCCAATTGCCATCATAGTCGATACCTTCTTTCTGCTCAAAGTCAAAGGTGACCTCATAGTCGATACCTTCTTTCTGAGTGTACCCTTTCGCTAACAAATGAGCTTTGTAGGTCTCAATCCTGCCATCATGGCCCTTCTTTCTCTTATGGATCCATTTGCAACCAATTGCTTTTACCCCGAAGGGCGGATCTACTAGAGTCCAGACTCCATTGGCCTCCATCGAGTCCATCTC